TACTGCAATGAAATTGGAGATCAATAGCAAAACAAACCACAAGAATTTTATAAACACATGGAAATTGAACAACACACTTCTGAATAACCAATTGGTCACAGAGGAAATTAAAGAAGAAATCAGACAGTTTCTACAATTAAATGACAATGTCAACACAACATATTGGAATCTATGGGATACAATGAAAAGAGTCTTACAAGGGAAATTCATAGCAGTGAATACTCATATTAGGAAAACAGAGCAAGCTCAATTAAACAACCTGATGCTGAACCTCAAACTTCAAAAAAAAGAAGAGCGGGACAAATCCAAAGATCGTATAAGGGAGGAAATTATAAAAATCAGCAGAAATCAATGCAATGGACCCTAAGAATGATACAAAAAAAAAAATCAATGAAGCAGAGTTGCTTCTTCAAAAGAATAAAAAAAAAATTTGACAAACCCTTAATGGACCTTATATTTAAAAAAAAAAGGCCCAAATCCATGAAATTAGGAATGAAAAGGTAAAATTACAAGGGACCCAGCAGAAATCCAGAGGATCATCAATATCTACTTTGAGAACCTTTATGCCAATAAGGTGGAAAACACAGAAGAAATGGACAGATTCCTAGATACGTATGAATTACAAAAGTTGAACAAAGATGACATAAAAATTCTAAACAACCTAATATCAATCAATGAAATTGAAATGTAATTAAAAATTTACCAATGATGAAAAGCCCAGGCCCCAGTAGCTTCACTGCTGAATTCTACAAAACATTTAGAGAAGTACTGCCATTCTTGTTTAAACTCTTCAATGAAATTGAAAGGGAAGCAATACTCCTGAACTCATTCCTGGAAGCAAGCATCACCTTGATCCCCAAAGCAGAGAAAGACCCAGCCGAAAAAGAGAAATATAAGCTAATCTCACTAATTAATATAATTGCAAAAATCCTTAATAAGATACTGGCAAACAATGCAGAAGATCATCAAGAAGATCATACACCCTGACCAAGCAGGATTCATCCCAGGGATGCAGGGATGGTTCAACATATGCAAAGCAATAAATGTAATACACTATGTTAATAGAGCCAAGGACAAAAACCATATGACTATCTCAATAGATGCAGAAAAAGCATATGACAAAATCCAACATGCATTCATGATAAAAACCCTACAAAAACTGGAATAGTCTTTATTTCAATCTAATAAAAGCCATCTATGAAAAACCAATAGCCAATATTATACTAAATGGTCAAACACTGAAATCCTTCACACTAAAATCAGGAACAAGACAAGGATGTCCACTATAACCACTCCTGGTCAATATAGTTTTGGAAATATTAGCCACAGCAATTAGACAAGAGAAAGAAATAAAGATAGGAAATGAAGAGGTCAAATTGTCATTATTTGCTTAGAAGACCCCAAAAACTCCACCAAAAGTCTTTTAGATTTAATAACCAAATTCAGTAGAGTAGCTGGATACAAGGTCAACGCACAAAACTCAATAGCCTTTCTGTACACGAACAATGGACTCACTGAGAGAGAAATGGGGCAAATAATTGTTTTCACAATAGCATCCAAAAAATTGAAATACCTAGGGATCCAGCTAATGAAGGAAATCAAAGACCTCTACTCTGAAAACTACAGCACGCTGAAAAAAAGAGATTGAAGAGGATATCAGAAAATGGAAAGACATCCCTTGTTCCTGGGAAGGAAGAATCAACATAGCAAAAATGGCCATACTTCCAAAACTGCTATATAGATTCAATGCAATCCCAACCGAAATTCCAGCAGCATACTTCACAGACCTTGACAAACAATCCAAAAATTCATTTGGAACAAGAAGAGACCTAGAGTAGCAAAAGCAATTCTAGGCAATAAAGACAAGGTAGGGGATATCACACTCCCCAACTTGAAACTATACTACAAAGCCACTGTGAAAGAAACAGCATAGTTCTTGCAAAGAAACAGACCTGAGGACCAGTGGAACTGATCAGAAGATGCAGAAACAACTCCAGATACACTCACCCACCTCATCTTTGACAAAGAAGCCAAACACCCTCACAGGAGGAAAAGATAGCCCCTTTAATAAATGGTGCTGAATAAACTGGGTTTCAACTTGCCAAAGATTAAAACTCGATCTGTATCTCTCAGCATGCCCTAAGCTAAAATAAAAATGGATTAAAGATCTAAATAATAAAACAGAAACACTAAACCCACTGGGAGAAAGTTTAGGTAGAACTTTTGAAGACACTGGTGTAGGAAAAGATTTTATAAACCAAAACTCAACTGCCTGCAAACTAGCACAAACTATCAACAAGTGGGATCTCTTCTTATTAAAAAGCTTCTGCCAGCAATTAAATGTTCAACAGCATGAAGAGACAACCCACAATGTGGGAAAAATCTTTCACCAGTTATTCCTCAGATAAAGGTCTACTATCTAAAATATATAAAGAACTTAAAAATATCAGACCTTTCAAATTTAAAGACCAAATTCATTCCCCTACCATTCCCACTTCCCCTACACTTTTGCCCTTTTAGGGGAAAGGAAATAAGGGGAAAGAAAAAAAAATGAGAAAATGAAAAATGGAAATAAAGCATTTGTAAATAGGGAAGGGAGGAGGGGGTGAAGGGAGGGCAGGGAAAAGGGGAAAAAATGAGAACCAAGACCTGTCATGTAAAGGTACAAGATCCCAATGATGAATGTAACAGTACTGTATACCTAAAATGTACCAATAAACTCAATGAGAAAAATAAATAAATAAATAAAAATAAAGACCCAATCCAAAAATGGGCATCTGCGATGAACAGACATTTCTCAGGCAACAAAGTAGAAATAGCAAATAAACATGAAAAAATGTTCCACATCACCAGTCATTCCAAGAGATGCAAATGAGAACGAAACTGAGATTCCACCTCACTCCAGAAAGAATGGCTGCTATCAAGAAATCAACCAATAAGAAATGCTGGAAGGGCTGTGGGTAAAAAGGATTCTTGATCGGCTGGTGGGAGTGCAGACTGGTGCAACCACTGTGGAAATCAGTATGGAGATACCTCAAAGAACTATGATTGGAAGTCCCATGAGACCAAGCTATTCCCCTGCTGGGTATGTTGCCAAAAGAAGTAAAAGAATCACACCACAGTGATATGTATGCACTCATGTTCATAGAAGCAGTTTGTAATAGCTAAAACTTGGAAACTGGATAAAGAAAATGTGTTTGTTTTTTAATTAAATGGAATACTACTCCACCATAAAGAATGAGAAATTAGATATTTATAGCTAAATGGATACACATTGAGGCGATACTCTTAAGTGAAATTAATAGGACTCACATGTATAAATACCAAATAGCTTCTCTGATACGAGAAAGTGAAAGTGTAAATAAGGACTAAAAGGTACAACAGATAATGTGAAATAGGAAGAAAAGGGGAAAAGGGACAAAGGGGAAAGGGAAGTGGGAGGGGTAGGGAAAAGGAAAGAAGGGAATGGAATGGCTATGAAAAAATAAAAAAATGGAAACAAAGTCTGCAGATAGGAAGGGAGGGAGGAGTTGAAGGGATGGCAGGGGAAGGGGGGAGGAAGAACCAAGATAGATTACATAAAGGAACAAATTTGCAAAGATGAATGTCATTATATTGTATACCTAAAATGTACCAATAATATTAATTTTTTAAAAAATGGCCATGCAAGACATCCATGGCTGAGTACAAGAGAGAATGCCTGTAAATATGGCAGACCCAATATACCCCTTGAAACCTGGGTACTCTGTTTGGGTCAAAAAAAAAGTTCATACACCTTGGAACACATATGGGATGGGCCCCATGTAATTTTGTCTATCTCCACTGCTGGTAAGATTGAAGGAACTGTGTCTTAGATTTACCACAGCTTAAGGCCATCAGCTCAGGACAAGTAGATTAGCCAGCAGGATCCAGACCACCTGAACAAGCTGATCCTGCGACAAGACTGCTCTGCCACCGAAAAATGGCAGCCCTGCTCCGGTCACTCCAAAAGCTGACCAGTCCACACATGGCTAAAGCTTGAGGATCAACCCAGAGTCACAACAACATAAGTGTCTTATCCTCTTTGTTACAGTTTTCACTTGCTTCTTACTCCTACTTGTCAAAAATATCCAGACTCTGGGATACATACACTATCACTTGAATGATAGCCTTAACTAAGTACCACCCTCTGCTTAGTAGCTTTTAATGAGCAGCCCATGGTGACAAAATGATAAAGATGATGCTCTCTATTAAAACTAGAAAGCATCAAAATGGGGAATGAAGCAGGACTTTAAAACAAGTTCTTCCCAGCCTTGAGCAGTCCCTCCAACTCCATCACTTCCCCCTGTCCATCCCTTGTAGCTGTAACTCCTTGTTCTGGTACAGATAAGAACGGCAACTATGCCCTGTGAACAAAGTTTGCCATCTTGTTCTCACAAGATTCACAAGATTCACAAGGCTGTCTTCTTTCATGGCTAACTTACAAAACTGTATGCTCTTTTCCTGTTTCATGTAAACTCATTTGCTACATCATTAAAGACCAACTGCTTTGACCAAATATATAAGACTGGAACCTCTCCTTTGTTCTCTGCTCTTCTGTTAAGCTAGTTCACCTAAAACCTGAAATAAATTCTCCATTTCCCAGAGGCCTCTCCTGTCTCTTTTATCCCACGACAGTGGGGTGGTAGGCAGGGAGGACCCGAGCCAGCATTTGCACAGCATTTTACATAAAATGGTGTCGAAGCCAGTTATCCACAGAGAAGATCCCTAGACCCCAGGGAGATGTCTCAAGTCCCCAGCCTCCCAACTTGGTGCAGCAGACAGAACACAAACTTTGGTCTAGGAAACATCAGTTTTATCATCTGTGTATGCCCCCCTCAAAGTGGTTAATTAGGCCTGCATTTCCATTCTAAGATGCTAGATAAAAGACCTCATTATGACCATGAGCACACTGGACTCTAATTATCAAAGATGCTTTCAGCTCCAGCTGTTAGGGGGTTTCTGCTCTCACAGGTCCTTACCTTTTCTAGCAGCCTCAGGTGTCTGGGAAAGTCTCTCCAGCTGGGTGGAAGTCAGGGGTGGGGAAGCGGATTTCCTCTCAGGCGCCTCTTCCTCCGGCTCCGTCTTCTGTCCCTTCCTTTCATCTGGGGGCGGCGGTGAGGGTGGCTGGGGATCTCTGCTCTCCTGGTTCTCCTTGGGAGGCTGGCTGGGCTCTGGGTCAGGCTTCCCGGCCCTCCGGGCCAGCAGCTCTACCAAATAGGGCCTGCTGATCTTGGTGAGAGGGGATGACGGTGGGGTGTGACCAGCGGGCTTGGGCGCCAGAGCTGGTTTCTGTACCAGGGCTGTTCTGCTTGCTGCCTTGTCCTGCTCTGCAGCTGGGGCCTGGCTACTGGCTGGTGGAGCACTGGGCTTGGCTCCTGGAGGGTGGGTGCGGGCAGGGCTTGCAGCAGAGTCCCTGCAGGGGCTTGGGGCCTGCTTCCTGTCCTGGGGGAGCACCGGGCCTGGCTTGGGGGCCGCGCCCTCTGCTTCTCTCTCCCCAGTTGCATCCATGCTGTCTCCCATGCTGCTGTGCCTCTTCTTCTTCTTCTGTTCGGCCTGCTGGTCACAATGGAAACGCAGGGAGTAGTTGGTCCTTCTCAGTTTTATTCCAAAAGGGGAAGCCTTTTCCTCTCCACCTGGGGTCACTGGATCTGGCTTGGCCACGCCACTCGCGCTCCCGAAGTCCGATGAGGTCCTGGGCTCAGCGTGGGCTGCTGCTTTGGGCGCAGGGGGAGGAGGGCTCGGGACAAGAAAGGATGGAAGGTCTTTGGCAAATTTGCAGCCCTCTGTGGTGTCTGCGGGCTCCAGGCGCACCTCTGTTTTCTCGGGGGTTCTGAGGGGCTCGTGGGGAGCAGCGGGCAGAGGCTGGGGTGCTGTTTCAAGAGGCGCCGGCGCGGTTCTCTTTCGGAGGCTGTCGGCCTCTGTGCTCTGCCTGGCGGTCTTGCTGCCGGCGTCGGAGAATTTCTGCCAGGCGGGCATGATAAAGAACTTGGCGTTGGCGGGCGGCGTCCTGCGCAGGTGT